GCTCTCAAAGATATAGAAGCAACTACAGCCAAACAAATAGAGACACGAGAAGAAGCACAATTAGTGGCATATGGAGACGAAAAAAAAAAAAAATAGAGGCCATCATGGAAAGATAGGAATCCACATTCAAACAGAAGAGGGAAATGGTGCAAGACATGAAAACAGAGTTAGAATCAATAAAAAAAAATCACAAACAGAAAATCCTGGAGCTGGAGAACTTAGAGAAAAGATCAGAAAACACAAAGGTAAGCATCATTAACAGAAGACAAGAGATAAAAGAGAGAATCTCAGGTGCTAAAGATACACTTGCAGAAACTGATACATCTCTCAGAGTAAAAGTAAAATGGTAAATGATCCAAACATAATGCATCCAAGAAATATAAGACACCATGAAGATGAAATTTAAGAATAATTGGAATAGAAGAACAAGAAGATTCCAGGCTCCAAAGTTCAGAAAATATTTTGAAGAAAATCATAGAAGAAAATTTTCCCAACATAAAGAAAGAGATATCCATAAACATAGAAGAGGCCTATGGAACAGCAAATAGACAGGACCAGAAAAGAAACTCAAGTCACATAATAGTCAAAACACTAAATGTACAGAACAAAGAAAAATATTAAAGGCAGCAAGGGAAAAAGGCCAAGTACAATATAAAGGTAGACCTATCAGAATCACACCAGACTTCTCAAAAGAATCTATGAAAGCCAGAAGGGTCTGGACAGATGTCATGCAGACTCTAAGGGACCAGAGGTGTCAACACATACTACTATACCCAGCAAAGCTTTCAATCACCATAGATGGAGAAAACAAAATATTCTGTGAGAAAACTAAATTTAAACAATATGTACACAGCAACACAGCCCTACAAACTATACTAGAAGGAAAATTCCAACCCAACGAAAACAACTATATCCAAGAAAATATAGGACATAGATAAATACACAAAAAATCAAAAGAATACAAGAAACAAAACACGGTAACGCCACTAACCCCACATCAAAAGAAAGTAAAAAAAAAAAAAAATTGGTCACTATTATCTCTCAACATCCTCAACATCAATGGACTCAATTCTCCAATAAAAAGACACAGACTACAGAATGGTTGCAGAAAAAACATTCTGCTGCATCCAAGAAACACACCTACGCAACAAAGATAAACATTACCTCAAAGTAAAGGGCTGGAAAAACGATTTTCAAGCAAAGGGACCCAGAAAACAAGCTGCGATAGCTGCCCTAATATCTAATAAAATAGATTTTTAACCAAAATTAATAAAAAAAAAAAAAATGAGAAGAAGCACTTCATTCTCATCAAAAGAAAAATCCACCAGGAGGACATCAAAATTCTGAACATCTATGCCCCAAATACAAGAGCACCTAAAAAGCAGCAAATCAAGTAATCCAATTAAAAAAATGAGGTACAGAGCTAAACAGAGAATTCTCTGTAGAGGAATATTGAATGGCAGAGGAACACTCAAAGAAATGGTCAACATCCTTAGTCATTGAAGAAATGCAAATCAAAATGACCCTGAGATTTCACTTTACAGCCATCAGAATGGCTAAGGTCACAAACTCAAGTTACAGTACAGGCTGGAGAGGATCTAGAGAAAGGGGAACCATTGCTGGTGGGAATGTAAACTTGTGCAACCACTTTGGAAATCAATCTGGAGCTTTCTCAGACAATTAGGAATAGTGCTTCATCCATTGCCAGCTATACAGCTACTAGGCATATATCCAACATGTGCTCAAGTACACAAGGATATTTGTTCAATTTTGTGCATAGTCGCTTTATTCGTAATAGCAAGAACCTGGAAACAACCCAGGTGTCTATCAACAGAGGAGTGGATACAGAAATTGTGGTACTTATACACAATGCAATACTACTCAGCAATTAAAAACAAGGAAAGCCTGAAATTTGCAGGCAAATGGTGGGATATAGAAAAGATCATCCTGAGTGAGGTATCCCAGAAGCAGAAAGACACACATGGTATATATTCACTTGTAAGTGAATATTAGACATATAATATAGGATAAGCATACTAAAAATCTGTACACCTAAAGAAGCTAAGCAAGAAGGAGGACTTTGGGTAATATGAACAATCTTCACTCAGAAAGGCAAACAGGATGGAAATAGGAAGAGGTAGAAAACAGGAAACAAGACAGGAGCTTACCACAGAGGGCCTCTGGAAGACTCTTCCCAGAAGTGTATCAAAGCAGATACTGAGGCTCATTACAAAACTTTGGGCAGAGTGCAGGGAAACTTATGATAGAAGGAGGGGATAGAAAGACCTTGAGGGAACAGGAATTCCACAAGGAAAGCAACCGAACCAAAAAATCTGGGCCCAGTGGTCTTTTCTGAGACTGATACTCCAATCTAGGACCATGCATGGAGATAACCCAGAACCCCTGCACAGATGTGACAGCTCAGTGTCCAAGTGGATTCTCTAATAAGGGAAACGGGGGCTGTCTCTGACATGAACTCACTGGCTAGCTCTTTGATCACCACCCCTTGATGGGGGAGCAGTCTTGACAGGCCACAGCGGAAGACAATGTAGCCAGTACTGATGAGACCAGATAGGCTAGGGTCAGATGGAAGGGGAGGCAGACCGCCCCTAACAGTGGACTTGAAGAGGAGCATGGGAGGAAATGAGGGAGGGAGGGTGGGATTGGGAGAGAATGAGGAAGGGGGCTACAGGTGGGATACAAAGTGAATAAACTGTAAGTAATATAAAAACAAAAAAATTAAAAAAAAACTTTAAAAAGAAAATACTCGCTCATATAGACATATAACATAGGATAAACCAAGTAAAATCTGTGCATCTAAAGAAACTAATCAAGAGAGAGGACCCTGACTAAAATGCTCAATCCCCATCCTGAAAGGCAAAGAGGATGGACATCAAAAGAAGAAGGAAACAACCTAGGAACCTGCCACAGAGGGCCTCTGAAAGGCTCTGCCCTGCAGACTATCAAAGCAAACGCTGAGACTTATGACCAACTGTTGGGCAGAGTGCATGGAATCTTATGTAAGAAGTGAGAAATAGTAAGAGTTGGAGAGGACAGGAACCCCACAAGGAGAGCAACAGAACCAGAAAATTTGAACACAGGGAACGTTCCAGAGACTCATACTCCAACCGAGGACTATTCATGGAGATAACCTAGAACTGCTGTACAGATGTACGATGTGACAGTTCAGTGTCCAAGTGGGTTACATAGTAATGGGAAGAGGGACTGCCTCTGACATAATATGATTGGCCTGCTCTTTGATCACCTCCCTCTGAGGGGGGAGCAGCCTTACCAGGCCATAGAAGATGACAATACAGCCACTCCTGATGTGATCTGATAGACTAAGATCAGAAGGAAGGAGAAGAGGACCTCCCCTATCAGTGGACTTGGGGAGGGGCATGTGTGAAGAAGGGGGAGGGAAGGTGGGATTGGGAGGGGAGGAGGGAGAGGCTTATGGGGGGATACAAAGTGAATAAAGTGTAATTAATAAAAAAATAGAATGGATGCAGAAACTGTGGTACATCTATACAATGGAGTATTACTCAGCAATGAAAAATAAGGAAATCATGAAATTTGCAGGTAAATGGTGGGACCTGGAAAGGATCATCCTGAGTGAGTTGTCCCAGAAGCAAAAAGATACGCATGGTATATACTCACTCATATAAACATACAATATAGAATAAACCCACTAAAATCTGTACATCTAAACAAACTAAGCAAAAGAGAGGACCCTAACTAAAATGTTCAATCCCCATCCTGAAAGGCAAAGAGGATGGACATCAGAAGAAGAAGAAAACAGGAAACAACCTAAGAACCTGCTACAGAGGGCCTCTGAAAGCCAGAAGAAAACAGGAAACAACCTTGAAACCTGCCACAGAGGGCCTCTGAAAGCTTCTGCAGTATAGACTGTCAAAGCAGATGCTGAGCCTGATGGCCAACTGATGGGCAGAGTGAATGGAATTTTATGTAAGAAGTGGGAAATAGTAAGAGCTGGAGGGGACGGGAACTCCACAGGAGAGCAACAGAACAAGATAATTTGAACACAGGGAACTTCCCAGAAAATCATACTCCAACCAAGGACTATTCATGGAGATGACCTGGAACCCCTGCACAGGTGTAGCCCATGGCAGTTCAGTGTCCAAGTGGTTTACATAGTAATGGGAAGAGGGACTGCCTCTGACATAATATGATTGGCCTGCTCTTTGATCACTTCCCCCTGAGGGGGGAGCAGCCTTACCAGGCCACAGTAGAGGACAATGCAGCCACTTTTGATGAGAACTGATAGACTAAGATCAGAAAGAAGAGGAGAACCTTCCCTATCAGTGGACTCGGGGAGGGGCATGCATGCAGAAAGGGGAGGGAGGGTGGGATCAGCAGGGGAGGAGGGAGGGGCTTATGGGGGGATACAAAATGAATAAAGTGTAATTAATAAAAAATTTAAAAAAATAAAAATAAAAAAGTAAAAAAAAAAGAAAATAAATAAGAAATGAAAATGGAGAGAAGTAGGATTAAGGGGGGGGGGGGGGGAACAGCCTGGAGATGAAGCTGAGTGTTATAGCTCTTTCTTAATATGCCAAAGTCCCATGTTTCATCCTCAGTATTGGAAGAAAATACGTTTGTATAATAAAGACATTGATCTTCTCAACCTCTTGCATAAGGAAGTCAAGACACATCTCAATATTTGGTAAAGAAGACACTCTCATTCACACAGATTCTAAATATTAGTGCTAAGTCTTTGGAAAATCTTACTAACAATCATTTTTTGGAAAGGTGTTCTCCAAACTCTAAAATATCCAAGACAAGGGATCTAGACAGATGTTGCTAACAAGAGAAGTGTGGAAGGGAGCAAGTAGGGACAAACACAAAGCATTTTTTTTTTCAGAATCCCTTCCCTAAGCTGGAAAAGTACATGATAAAAATAGTGCTCAAAGAAAACAATTAAGATTTAAGTGCTTCCTGGTGAACATGAGAGAGCCTTCCATAATTTCCTTGTCACAATCTACATGTTTATTATTTGCATAGTTCAATCAATAATCCACAGAAAAAGTCTTCAGCTATTGGTGGGCTCTTCAGAAACTATTTTCTTCCCACTGCTTTCAGAAGCAGTATGAAAATCCTAGAGTGCCAATGAGGTATGAATTGAGTCTCCATATGGCAAATGAATTAGTATGCCTTTGATCTGCCCAAAGATTAAGACTGGTCTGTCAAATACACATCATGGTGCCTTCAGCAACACTTAATGACATATCTAGGGGTTTTGTTTTGTTTTGTTTTTGTTTTCAGCAAGCACTTGACAATGACAGAAGCACAGGATCTGTGTTCTGTAGACCAATCTCAGTAATTGGTGATATAATGGTTATAGCTCCAAGTCTCCTTACTACAATTGAAGGCCTGTTGTCCAGTGAGCATTGAAAAAGCCCAAAGTACCTGACACTAGTTTTAAATGTTTTTGGATTGCTGAAATTAGTCCTCTAAATTAAGCATACCCCTTTCTATTCTCTACTTAAGATTTCCAGGAAACCAGAATTTGCTTTAATTTACCACTTTGAGCCAACAGAGCAAAATATGCTAGAGACTAGGGGTTCTTACATATAAAGCTTCTTGGCATCCCAGAACTTTGGCATACAGCTCACAGATTTTCTTCTTCCTATAGAGAAGAGTAAAAACATGTTAAATAAGTCATAATTGATGGGCATAGAACAAAGACACTAAGTTCTAGGGTACTTATTTGTGACTTCCTTGAAGAAAAATGAATTTAATAGCCTTCTGTAGCTATAAAATAAATAGTAAATTAATCCTTGCACTCAGTTTATATGTCTCAATGGATTTCTGTATGCTGATTAACATCCTATGCCTCAACATGGTAATTTGAGGAATCAACAGAATTTTCCTTTTTTTAAAAAAAAAGACAAGGTCTCACTATGGGTAGACTGGAATTTCTTGTCCCTCCTCTTGTCAGCTGTATTTTTACAACAAGATTTGTAACATCTGCATTTTACTTCATAACAAAAATCAAGGTTTTTTAAAATTTGTTTCATTTGCATTAACATCAGGAGATAGTCAATTTCTGTGCCACAATTGGGCTGTCTTTTCTCTAGATCCAATGTCTCTTTGAAAGGGACATATTCACACACTTCCACTATTTTTTTTCAAAATGAGCAAAGATGTTGTTTCAGAAGCAGAGAAAATAAGAGCAAAAAAAAAAGTATCTATGGAACTACACATCAGTAACTCCTGACAAATCTTAGGCTACGACAAATGACACAAGATGCATTAGGAGAAAGGAAGGCTAAATTTTTCAGGAACACAGGTTTACATCAAACATGGGTTTTGAATTAATCTTTAAAAGTATTAGACTGTGAGCTAGACATTGAATAAAAGGCCCATTATATCAAGAATGTGATCTGAAATCATGTATATCTTTCTCCCACAGGAGGATACAATGAAACTGGATCAAAACCAAACTACAGGAAAGCATACCCCAATGCCAAATATGACAGCAGAATTTTGAGCACATATAGGTACATTCTATCATGCCTGGCTAATCTCTCTTTGAAAGAAGATACAATTTAAACTCACAACTATTCCTGGTGAATTTTTTGATGATCCAATTTACTAAACTTGCCATCTTCTAAATTAATGGATCTATCTCAAGTACTGAATATATACTATTTATATTAATTCTTTCAAGTTTTTATATTGTTTAAACATATGAAAATGTCTCTGAAATATTTGTTAAAGGCTAATGAGAAACAAAAACAATTTTTATGAAAATGAGAAAAAGATGTAATTCAAATCCACAAAACAAGCATTAAAACCAGATGAGATAAACAGTTAAAAATATGCAGTGTCAGTGTACATGTAGATGCAAGAGTCAAGGTTTGTAGTAATAAAAAACAATATAAAAATATACAAATTATATTGCCAATTGCATTAGAAACTATCTTAAAAACATAAACCCAATTAATCTAAATAGTATGGAACAAAATGTAAGCTTATCACTCTTGATATCATTATTACACTACTAATATAACTCTTCGAACTCATAAGTACAAAAAGTTAATGGAAGAAAAGGTGGAATTATAAATATTATTTATTGCTATGCCATTTCTATGCCAGGCTTTGGAGGAGACAACTGTCACTTATGAATGCTGTCACATAATACAAGGTGAATAATAATTCTAGGACAGTTTGGAAATGGTTGATTAAAAGTCCTAACACACAGGAAGAAATCTTAAGCTTTTCTTGCTTTCTCTGTCTAATATAAAATCTTCATTGAAAATATGAAGCTCAGTGAGATGCAGATTCATTCGTTTAAGTAATGAGAAGGAAAACTTTTACTGTTTGGGGCATTTTGCCCATAGTAGGTGCTCAACATGTGTTGAGTCAAATTCTATGCTCATTCCAGTATAGCATCCTCTCTTCTATGTCTGAAAAAGATGGAAACTTCTCATTTTATGAGTGATTATAAGCAGGAATTCAGATGTTCAGAGTCAATTAAGATTATTGCCAAGTCAAGTAAGAATATTGCTATATTGGCTAGTTTTGTGTGTCAACGTGGACCAACCTAGAGTCATCAGAGAGGAAGGACACTCAGTTGAGAAAATGTCTCCATGCAATCCAGCTATAAGTTATATTCTCAATTAGTAATTGATGGTGGAGGATCCAGCCCCTGATGGGTGGTGCCATCCCTGCGATGGTGGTCCTGGGCAAGCTTAGTAAAGCAAGGCAGTAAGCAGCGCCCATTCATGGACTCTGCATCAGTTCCTGCCTCATGGGTTTCTACTTTGTTTGAGGTTTATTTTTATTTTTGTAACTTTTTTTAAATTTTTTATTTAACTTTTATTAATTACACTTTATTCATTTTGTATCCCCCCATGAGCCCCTCCCTCCTCCCCTCCCGGTCCCACCCTCCCCCCCTTTCTGCATGCATGCCCCTCCCCAAGTCCACTGATAGGGGATGTCCTCCTCTCCTTCCTTCTGATCTTAGTCTATCAGTTCTCATCAGAAGTGGCTGCATTGTCAGGGTTCTAGGTTATCTCCATGAATAGTCCTTGGTTGAAATATGAGTCTCTGGGAAGTTCCCTGTGTTCAAATTTTCTGGTTCTGTTGCCCTCCTTGTGGAGTTCCTGTCCTCTCCAGCTCTTACTATTTCCCACTTCTTACATAAAATTCCTTTCACTCTGCCCGAGAGTTGGCCATCAGGCTCAGCATCTGCTTTGACCGTCTGCATGGCAGAGGCTTTCAGAGGCCTTCTGTGGCAGGTTCCTAGGTTGTTTCCTGTTTTCTTCTTCTTCTGATGTCCATCCTCTTTGCCTTTCAGGATGGGGTTTGAGCATTTTAGCTAGGGTCCTCTCTTTTGCTTAGTTTGTTTAGATGTACAGATTTTAGTGGGTTTATCCTATGTTGTATGTTTATATGAGTGCGTATATACCGTGTGTGTCGTTTTGTATCTGGGACAACTCACTCAGGATGATCCTTTCCATGTCCCACCATTTACCTGAAAATTTCATGATTTCCTTATTTTTCATTGCTGAGTAATACTCCATTGTATAGATGTACCACAGTTTCTGCATCCATTCTTCAGTTGAGGGGCATCTGGGTTGTTTCCAGCTTCTGGCTATTACAAATAAAGCTGCTACAAACATGGTTGAGCAAATGTCCTTTTTGTGTACTTGAGCCTCTTTTGGATATATGCCTAGGAGTGGTATGGCTGGATCTTGAGGAAGCACTATTCCTAGTTGTCTGAGAAAGTGCCAGATTGATTTCCAGTGTGGTTATACAAGTTTACATTCCCACAAGCAGTGGAGAAGGGTTCCCCTTTCTCCACAACCTCTCCAGCATGTGTTGTCACTTGAGTTTTTCTTCTTGGCCATTCTGATGGGTGTAAGGTGAAATCTCAGGGTTGTTTTGATTTGCATTTCCCTAATGGCTAATGAGGTTGAGCATTTCTTTAAGTGCTTCTCTGCCATTCAATATTCCTCTACAGAGACTTCTCGGTTTAGCTCTGTTCCCCATTTTTTAAGTGGATTACTTGGTTTGCTGCTTTTCAGCTTCTTTAGTTCTTTATATATACTGGATATGAGTCCTCCGTCAGATAAAGGGTTGGTGATGATTCTTTCCCAATCTGTAGGCAGTCACTTTGTTTTGATGACTGTGTCCTTTGCTTTATAGATGCTTTTCAGTTTCATGAGGTCCCATTTTCATTTCTGAGAGCCTGTGCTGTTGGTGTTCTGTTCAGGAAGTTTTCTCCTGTACCAATGAGTTCTAGGGTATTCCCCACTTTTTTTTCTAGCAGATTTAATGTGTCTGGTTTTATGTTGAGAGTTTTTATCATGACTTCCTTCAGTGATGAACAGAAATATGGACGCATAAACTGAATCAATATCTTTCCAACTTACTTTTTCATCATGGTATTTCATTGCAGCAATAGAAATTCCAACAAACACAATTGCCAACCAGCATTCAAAAGTGCTTAATGTTTTTAATTTATTTTCTGGACATATAATAAAATCTTTACTTAAGTAGAGCTAAACGTAAAAATCAACATTCATTGTAATTCACTCTTAATCATAAATAATAAACTGTCATTTACTGCACTTGATATTATTAAATAAGCTAAAAACAAGTTTATACAATACACCAAAAATTATCTTTCCTTTCCTTTTTCCTCATTAAAATTAAAACTTTTTTAAAAAACATATGGAAGGCAATTATTTGTTTTTGGATGTGTGACAGGGCTTCTCACACATAAAATATGAGTTTTAACTGAGCTACATTCTCTACCCAGAGAAATACATTTAGATTAGTTTGGCTCAAAATATAATAGAATATATTATAATTATAACCAAAGGAGGTCACCATGGAAATCATCTTGTAGTTGTATGTATCCACTAGCTTATTAATAAGTGTATTCATCATAATTATTTGAGAAGGTGATTAAAAAACACAAATTCTCAGTTTCTACTTCAGACCTACTGAATCACATTCTATAAGCCTTAAGAAAACAGACTTTCCAAATAACATTTGGGAGAGTTAGACAGTCAGTTTTGAAAACTACTGCTCTCATCACTGATAAATCACATCACAGTAAAGGTTTTGTCTTACAAGAACCTTACAGTTCAGTCAATCCATGAAATCATAATGAAATGCCTACCTCTAGTCTGGTATTTATCTTACTATTAATAGTAAGGAAAGCCAGGAAATCCAAAAGAAAATGTCAAGCTTAGTGTGGTATAATGAAAAAAAGATGGATCTGCTACTCTTTACTTTGTCACATGTCAATGGCTATGATTTGAATGTATGTATCCTTCCAAAATTCCCATGTTAAGTTTAGGAGGATGGTTCAATAGGTAAAGGTGCTTGGTATATAGTCCTGATGATGTGAATTCAATCCCTGGAACCCATTGCAAGGTAGAAGAGAACTGATATCCCAAAATGGTTCTCTGTTCTCCACCCATGTGTTATATTATGCATGAGCCTACACACACACACACACACACACACACACACACACACACACACACACA